TTTTGCATTAAAAGGAGGCCAAGGGCAAGATTTGATGTTTTTATTGCAAATTCTCACCTATTTACCTATTTACCTATAGGTACATACATTACACTGATGGGTTGTGTATTACCTACACTGTTCTTATGCTTCCAGTCATCGACTAATCAGTGGAATAATTTATTGTCAATCGGGTTCTTAGTTAAAATTAAAAGTGCAATATTTTGGCAATTGTAATAAAATACATATAAATTATAGCAGGCAATATTAACCAAAGGTCTTCTATCTGCGACAAAAACTTATTTTGGGCCCATTCCGCCCTCACACCGACACAAGTTCTGCAGTATAAGTCCTTAATTAGGGTTCTGCCATTGTTTAAATAAAGTATTTAAACAATAAAGTAATAAAGTATTTAAACAATGGTCCTGCTTAGTACCAAAGAAGTATAGGCGACTACACATGAACAGAACAGAATTACTAAATTTGTCGTGGTGTCTATTTTTAGAACTAGACTCAACGTTTTGGAACATCATATCGTAAATGATTTGTATGTGTAACGATCACTATAGCTTTGATACTCAAGGGATTGAATAAGTAAATGCTAACGGCTAAAGAAGTGGATGAAAGCGTAAGATTACCCAAAAATTAAAAATAGAGGCAATTAGAACAATATCAAGTTCTAAAATAGAACTTTGTTTTGAATTTATGTGCCGTGGGAGTTTAATTATTCATCATCGTCTACAAGGAAAACTCATGTATTCAATAAATACATTAACTATAACTAGACTGAAGACAATGAACTAACAACCTGCTTGTTTATTATTTCTCTTGTGTATGTCGTTTTCGAAATTAAGGAAAGTATTTTTCTGCTGTTAATGTGAAGAAAGTTACGTTGCCGTTAGAAAATAATATTGCTTACGTGTGTATCTAATTACCTATGAAAATAAGATGCTTGTAAGCAAATTAAGAACTACTTCGAGGAGAAATTTCGGAGTTAGGCCATGTGAGATACAATTGGGGTATTTTGGAACATTGTGAGATTGATTGCGTACCTATTATATGCATAAGGAGACATAATATAAGTGCTCCCCTGATTATACTCGTATATAACACATAAGGCCCTAAGAGTTGAGGAGGCCCCAGCGACTTATGAAGGAATTAAGAAAAGCTTAAGGTGAAGATGGAGGGAGAAGAAAGTGAGAAAAATTCAATGGGAAAGAAAAATTTCAGGGAAATGCAATGGGAGATTGAAAGATGAATACATAAGATCGAACTTGAGGAACACGCGATTTAGGGAAACTTGATGGGATTAAGAGGAGAAAGCTCCTCTCCCCAGACTTCTCTCAGATTCTTCTCAATTTTTCTTCCTAATTCACATTATATTATTCAACACGTAAGTATATATGTTGAATCTTTGGTCAAACTAACCCACCAATCCTTTAAAATACCTTTATTATTAAATAAAGCTTTGTATAGCATAAAAGAACTTGAAAATTACAGTTTTCAATAACACTTTAGCATGTTGTATAAACTACAGGGGGCGTCGTTTCTCTAGGTTAAAACAATGCCGAAGATGAGAGCGGGCCACCCTGTAGGGAAGAAAAATACGTACTGTTAACGTAATTTCTGTGCAAAGTGTTTGGTTCGTCGATCATTACGTTCCCATATCCTGACCATATAATTAGGATAATAATTAACGGAACTGTGAGTCATTTTTTTAGATCTCTTGAATCGTTTTTTTTCCAACGGGGTGTGCTAGGCTTGAATTTTTCTTACAGGTTTTGTTTTTGTATTTGATTTTATTCTCGTGATGTGTGTTAGAACAAATTCTTATAATTTCTTTGTATTAATCAATTATATGTTAATTTGTATCCCAATTTGAGATCCAGGTAGGGTTAGATTTTTTTAATTAATTCGAATGTTAATTTCAATTCAAAATGTGAGTAGTAGATTTCATTGAAATTTACGGAATTTGATTGAGGCATTTATATGAATTTTAAATCACTGTTAGGATTTTTGTTGTTGCTTCGAAACCCAGTCGGGCCCTGAGAGAAACTTAAAAAGAGAAAAGAAAATAATGGTTTGATTTGAGCTAGCTAAGTAGGTGAAGAACATAAAGAGGAACTTGAGAGGAATAACACAGGGAAACTTGATAGGTCTTGAGGGGGAACTGGAGAGGAACTTTACACGAGAGTATCTTGAGAAGAGACGCTTAAGAATTGAATTGTATAAAAGCCTCTTCCGTATTCCGTTAATTAATGCTTGGTTGTTTCGAGAAAGACCAAGAACCATTTTTGTTTTCAATTGACTGTTAGTATACGACAGTTTTGGCGCCAAACCGTATAATTTTCTAAATATTTAAGAAAAACTGAACTAAAATGGTGTAACTTTTTATCAAACAATCTGTGGACTGTATAGAACAATTTACAGTTGGAGAGAAACTTTTATTTGGATGTTGAGGTTTGGGTTTATTTGCATTGTACTATAGGCTCAATTTTGGAATAAGCATAAAGGAACTGTTCTCAAATTACTGTTACTGTCCTGCTTCAAATTTTGATAATAGCACATAAAGTGCCGCAATGTACTTCTGAGGTTACAAACTTTGGGTTTAAACGTACAAGATTTAACAAATTTCCGTCCCATTTTTCGTGGAATATGGTCAATTGATCGAGGCCAAATTGCACTTGTTACTGTCTGAATGAGCAACTTCATTGCATATTCGCGAACTTTAATATCGATTTCGTTCAATTGCGAAATGAAACTAAGATTTTAAGTCTTTTGCTTTTATTATTGGCACAAAGCTTTCTCAATTTACAATGTCAACAAAAAACGCACCGTACCTACACTACAACGCTTCCGGGTAATGTTATCATAATTACTAACAATGGGTCAACATATCCAATTGTTACAAACTCTATGTTTGTAAACAGATCTAAATTTGCATTTCAGCAAAAAACCGATTAAAGGTACACCATAAACAGTGTCGTTATAAGCAACGTTTTATAGTTTTATAATGTCCTACTATTACACGGCAATTTCACAACCGAATCTATTAGGTACTACCCACTAAAAAACGTTATATTTGTCGCATAATCAACCGCAATTATTCCAAAACGAATTATTAATAATGTCCATTCTAAAAAAATAAGCAAAAGTTCCCTGACTTTTTTTGTGATGTTTTTTGTTAAATGGCGCATATCTGCCGGATGTAATACTCGCCGAGTGTTATCAACTTGAATTCGTGTTAACTAGACCATACAAAACTGAATTTTTAAAAAATGGGTATTTTTTTACTATTGGGCCATACGCACAAAGTGTTTGCCAACCGTAGAAAGTTTTCCCATCAGTGAAAGTGAATCATCTTAAGATTACCGCATTAACTGCTGATTTATCTTATGATTTCTAAGCTCTTGTTGGCAAAGAGAAAAATCTTAATTTCTAAATTACATATTCACGGTATAATTTGACTGGTAATTATACCCCGTATGTAAATACCATATAAAGTGGAAAAGAGATACTTTTAGAAGTGCGAGTTTAATTATGTAATGATGTGCTTTTATGATGTAATTATATTCCTAATAACACATTTTTTCGTATTACCTTATTCAATCATTTCATTGGCAATGTCACGGTGTTTCGGGCGTAAAATTAAATATCGTCCAAATTTCAAGTGAGGAATCCCGTAACTGTACATTGAAGAATGGCCTACATACGTTACTAAAATCATAATACTTAAAAAATCATCAAGTAGCACCTGGATTACTACATGAGAAAATATTTACAATGCATCTGAGATGTCATTGAATAGAGCCGTTAGCATTAATATTAATCATAATTTATAAATAACTCCATTTGTATTCATATTACGCGATGTGACATTCACTTTAATATGGATGTATACATGAAAATTTTACTAATTAAAATTTTTATGTTGTTTTGATGAAGGGTACTTTCTAAATGAATATTTTTTGTAGAAATGCCCCCGCTGTTGTTACCAATTAACCTTTTATGCTAATTTGTCTATAAATTCTTTTCGCCAAACACAACATGGTCCAAATAATGAATCGTTCATTTAAAAACCGTTAGAATCAATAAAGAAGTAAAAATTGAGTACGAGTTCAACAAAACCATACACAATGTTATGGCATCGGATTTTGACCATGTATGAACGTAAACTGGCTGTGGATTTTCTCGACCATATTCTTAGAAAATTGCAAAGAGCGATTACAAGTAATTTATGGCTCTTTTTTCAGCTGCAAGTCAATTGCGGTGGTAGTGCAAGGTATATACAGAACCAGAACTAACATGAGATGAGCTCCATTAGAACACAATAAGTGTTGGAATTTTCGAATGTGGCTTTGGAAAATACGTATAGCGATTTCGTTTCGTAGGGCTAATGGATAAATCGTCCAGCTTTACAACCGCCTACAAGAATAGAAAGGCACCTCATTCATATAAGTAATACAAATAACTTGTTTCTTAAGTACTTCGTGTCTACTGACCTTTTAATTTCATTACTAAAAATAAAATTCACTAAAACTCGTTTGGTTAATTTAAAATGGGTGTTAGTAACCAGTAACTTCCTTAAACCTACAGATTTATCGCAATGTGTGTGTATGTGGGCACGTTAACTCTTTCTTTCCTTTTGAACTGGATTACATTGGCCGAGCTGAGATAATCTTAAACTTCATTCTCGAAAGGTGAATGTGTTAATTATATGCGACACGTTTAAGTACCACGAAGAAGCTGCGATTCTTCTTACAAGATAATATACCTGTTACCGGTAGGAATTCTTATTCCATATAATTGAATATTATGCAGATATCTAAGATACTTTCACATTACTTGCGTAATTCCATTACCATTCCCGTACCTGTATGTGAATCGTTAAACAATACACTTTGCCAAATGGTTCCATTGATTAAAAGTCAATATAATTAGTAGATATCTAATTGAAGTGGTAAGTAAAACAAGCGTTAGTGGCTAATTATAAAAGTTTTAATTAACATACAGGTACTTACTTTGAATTGTATATTAAACATAATCCTAAGTCATGTTCGTCGGCTACACGGGCACTTGTAACACCGTACCCGTTTAAGTTTTCCTCCGCGTTTTGAATAATTTAAATTATAAGAGAGGCGGAATTATTTCAGGCACGTTTCACTGACATACAGATATTGTGAGAAAAGTGTAAAAATATTACAGAATGCACAAGCCGCACCTGTCCGTTACACTCGCGGCCCACCTCTTGAGCTAGCGGTGCCTACGACTTACCTTTACCAGGTACGGTGATTGTTTCTAGATACTACAGGTAGGAATTTTTTAAACAATCTCTCGTTGTGGCGGTTGCCTAAACTACGGGCGCAAATTGGGTACGCAACACACCTTACTTGAGTTGACATTTCATTAGTCACTGAATATTCATTATTTGTTTATTCACAAAAACGACTTCTGGCAGCCTCCATTGGCCGCGTTGTACTACGTACCCTAAATTTTCAAAGAGGGTTGAAAATAAGAATGCATTTGGTTAAGTATTAGCAAAGAGTACCCAACTCTTTGGTAGTAGTCTTGAAAGAGGGACAATAAACACTTTCAGCCCATTTAAGAGTGCAGGACCGGACGGAATATTCCCAGATCTTCTGCAGAAGGGTGTGGAACCGCTGCTATTACATTTGTTGCACCTCTTTAGAGCCTCTCTGGCTTTAGGGTATATCCTCAAAAGCTGGAGAAAGGTAAGAGTTGTGTACGTACCTACCTAAGCCGAATCGTGCCAAATATGACATGGCGAAGGATTACAGACTCATCATCCTATGAATGTTTCATCTAAAAACGGTGGAGAAGCTGGTAGCTTTTAATCTGTGACCTATTTGCTGACTGGCTTGCTGGCAGCAAATGAGGGCTTGTAGAAAAGCAGTGTACCTTTGTAGCGGAGCCGTGTAATTAACAATTTTAAACGACGGGGATACATGATGTGTAGTCGGCGACATCTGGGCGCCATCTCCGAGCGCGAGCGTGGTTTACTAACGTGGTGATTTTTCAGTTTTTGTTCTGTACAGTTTTGGTTTTTAATTTGTTGTCGTCGGAATGATCTTGCAAACGCGCATAACTCCTGCCTGACGCAATGACTATAGTGCGACTATTCCACCGTACGTGAGTTATGTCACATGGAATAGATAAAGTAATATTAGCCAGTGCATATTTTACGACTTGTGTGAGATGTCACATGTGTTAACACTCTTGCTCCATTCTATGTCCACAATACTTCAAAAACTGCAGGAGCACTCAACGAAATAGCTGATGAGCGACAGAAGATCATAATATATATCCAACTTAACTCGGGCAAGTCCATCACTTGCCTTCAAAACGTTAGGGCTCGGTAGTAAAGAGATAAATTCTTTTTTATTGCTTCTTGGTTCAAAGCTCATCTACGAATCTGCTAAGTGCAGGGCCAAAAACTACCTTCTATAAAGGTTTTTATTAGCAATTCAACGTGGTAAGACAGCCAGCATTAGAGGGAGATTACCACAATGACAAGAAATTAATTTTATTTTCAATCTACCACTAAATCACCATATTTTATATTATTATTTCGAAATTATTCATTAAACTTGTTAAAATTTACTAAATTAATATTTGTTTAATAAATTAGATACAAAAAATTAATTCAAATTAATGAAGTTTCTTATTTTCTCTTTTTTCTTATTTCCTCATTATGTTGTGGCTGGTGCCCTAAGCACGTGCTTAGTCTGCTTATGCATTAATTCGACCCTGACTCTTCTTCTAGGAGGTGTTTAAAGATCATAGAAGGTTTTACAGGCGCTCAAATGATTACAAGGTTTTTAAAGACACACTTTTAAAAAAGATTTTCAAGATATTAGATCCGTAAGGCTCGAAAGGGGTTTTGAAAGATATTCAAGATTCGAATATGAAATACTGTTAAAAATTAAAGGTTTTTCAATACTCTCAATATCTCTTAAAGGCCTGGTATGGACTTCAAAGACCACCTAGAAAGCTGTGAAGATCATTGAAGAATCTCGGAGAGAAAGCAGACAGGAAAGGGCCAATAAAGTTCATTAAATTGCCTTTTTTAAATGAGATGCAGTTGGGTAATCTTTTGAAAGATTTTAAGATATTGACGAAATTTGTAATACCTAATTATATATGAAAAAATGTAATCTTGGATTGCGCGTTGACGAGGTCATGCAAGTGAGATTTTCATACCTAGGCGAGAACAGTGAGGAATGCCAGTTCTCCATTCAGCAGCTGATTCATCTGATTGGGAAAGACAATCTACTCCACTGCATAATTATGAAAAATGGTCTTCAGACGAAATATGGAAACCAAATCACCATTTCAGAATCAAGGAATGGGGCTATTGTCATACTGAAGAGGGTTGGTGAGAAAATTCTGTAGGCAGTGGAGGTTCCAAGTCTTTCCTTTAAATTTGCGTAGGTTTGACGTAGGTATTTTTTGAGTCATTGATTCATCGATATAACGTTCTCGACATCTTTCCAGATTTTTTATTGCCTTCCATTCACAAAAGTGTTGTACCTATTCTTTTTCGTACGATAATTTCGATTTTTCTAGCAATAAATTGGATACTGCAACCCCAGCATCAATTAGAATATCTTGTTGTATGATTTCTTCGTGTTTGCCATTTCAAGCACACTTTCACGTAGTAAATTAGACGAATTTTCCGAGAAAGGTCGAATGTTTTATAACAGTAGGTACTTTTTATTCACTTGATTTGGGTTGTCAATAATTGTGTGAATAAAGTGGTATTATAAACATTTTATTTACCCTTTCGATTAGAATATTAATTTAATGATGAGATTCAATATTACTAAATGAGCCTTTTATTGTTTGGAACTGGAACAAACTATTTTTTTTTAACAATTTTAAGGTTTAACCCGCCTGAATACCATGCAACACAAATAACAGGGCGAAGTAAAAACGTTTGCATAGTTTTGTGCGCTTTGAGTTGCTGCAGAATTAAATATAATCGACACCAAATGTGTAATTTTGTTTCATTATTGTTTTCATTTAAAAAAAGGCAAAGTGCCAGTATGTACAACCGATTGGTTAGTTTCTATAATTCTTACGTAAGAGATTAATCAGAACTAGGTACTAAGCGAGCATTCGCCCTGTGAAAGGCAATATAAATTGTGTCAGAACAATAAATGCCCATTGTTTCCAAAATATCGAAATTCTTAAGGTATTTAACGTAATTTACAATCTTATTGGCGTCTTACGCCTTAATGGTCAGCCAAAGCAGTTCATTTTATCATATGCCCAACACTATTGTGAATGAACCCTTGTTCAGTTTCTTAGCCAAACACGAGACCTACAATTAAATTTTTCAGGTTGGTTAAGATTTATTGAAAAGCGGTTGTGACTAAAAAATGATTAAGAAGCAACCCTTCATTGTTTAAAAATCGTAGGTAGGTACCTACTTTTTGTCTATCGGTCCAAAAGTGTCAAGGTGCCAATGGTTTATTCAACATACACTGTCCGAAAGGATGGCCAGTATGGGCATTCTAAAAACCGCCAAAGATACAAATTTGGCTAAATGTGGAAAAGTTGCGCAAGTAAAGGTCCAAGAAGACAGCGTTTAGAAATGTCTGAAAAATTTTTGGTGTTTTAAATATTTGTAAAAAAGGGCATTTTTCGATTTTACGAACTATTCTTTTCTGGCGTTAATATTTGACCTAGAGCAAAACCAATGACATTTCTCAGCAGCAACTTTTAATTAATTTTTTAATGTGACGGTAGCTGTTGGAATTTATCATGAAAGCATAAAAAAGCATTAAAAAAAGCAGAAATCGAAGCTGTAAAAATGTGCGTTTGGTCGTTCTCTTAATTGTGTATTGTATATTTATTCATAGAGTTATGCAATATGCAGTGTTATCATTATAAAAACTGGTTGGGTTTTAGATAAAGATATTAGAAATTATCGTGTTTACATTATACTAGGCGAAATAAATAGCTGTTTAGTCGCCGGTGTTAGTGATAGAATGGAACATTACCTATGAGTAGGTACATGTAGTGTTAGTACCTAATTTTGTGATTAGACAGTGCACGGAAAAGGTGAAATGTTAACATGACGTGGTTTATCTCCCCGAGGAGTCTGTGTGGATATCTCACAAGTTGAAGCTGAAATTTTAAGTGGTAAGTGGAATAGCAATAATGAATACAAATTAGACGCCACCGAGGACGCCGCAGTAGAACGTTCTCTGACTCTACATTAAATATATGGCGAAGGATTCCAAGTCCACTAAAACTAAAGCCGATAAAATTCAGGACGGGGAGCAATTTTTGTTTAAGGCTCTCAGTCAGTCACCAAACAAACCTTATTGAAATGTTTGCGGATTTAAAAAGTAGTAATGTTGTTGCCTCCAGCCAAGCTAATTTAGATTATTGAAAAGTAACAGGTAATAATTGATCAATTGATTGGTGAAAATTCGGATGCAATAGATACTTGTTTTCAGCTAAAAAGACTCCAGGCATTGAGTCCCCTACTACACTCATTAAGTTTTTGAGGAAGACCGAGAAGATTGAGTTTCTCCAATGTAGGAAGTTAAAAAGTGATTTGAATACTACTCATATAGATTTACATAACAATTCGCCTATATATACGAAACCCTAACCCCCGTAAGGAAGAAACTTCTGGCAATGGTGCGTAAATTCAAAATTCAACAAAACTGGAAATTTGTATGTGTAAATAATGGTAAAATTCATTTAGTAAGACGGACACGAGTAAAGTGTTTCCGATTGTCCCACAGGCACAATTAGACGATTTATAAGGTGTTCCTTAGTAACAATGACTGTTTTCATAATTTTTTGTAATATTTTGCTATCCGTAAGACTGATCTCTTCTGTTTTTCACTTTTAGATTATATTATTAGGTACTTAATTTTTGTATTTTTCTATGCATGATGATTTTTCGATCTTTTTTCTTCTATGTTAGACGGTAATAAGAAATAATTTCATTTATATTATCAGAATGTAAGAGGTTTTAAAAGGAAACGTAAAAATATCGCTACTCTTCTTTTTTATTTAATTAAACAAGATTAATAAGAATCAAGAAAGTAGTTTGTATCCCATTCATACATTATGAATGACAGATATGATCATACAAAATGCTGAAAGTCAAGCTTTGGTATAAGTAACTCGTTTGAGATATTGCTTTTTCGGTGGGTTTGAGTTTTCCTACTAAATACCAAAGGAGTATAAAACAAGCCAAATACTGTAACTGTACGACATTATTTATTTCCAGTTTCCCTTATGGTTCTTTGGGTCGCACATCGGAACCAATTTATAACTGCTTCTTCAAACTTTCGTTAGCTTATTTCTGGGAAACCTTTTATTACTCCTCAGTCCTCCTGCAAATTAATTTTTAGTTTTGGATTGATGGCGAGTTTTTGAATCACCTTTTATTGCCTTGGTAATGCTTAAATCTTTATTTTAGTTGTGCCTTTGTCCCGTCCACAAACATTGTTGTGCCACTTCAATGGGAAAAACAGTTGACAAGCATCTCCCCACGAAATTTTTGGAATAGGCAGCTCATCTTTCGTTATGATATTCCCACACTTACCACCTCTTTTCATTTGATAGATTTCCCAGTTCCTGTATTTCTAAAAGTGAGGTACAGGGCAAAGACGATAATGGGTCATAATTATTAATTGTGGCACTGTGATTGGATAGACCTATTCTCTTTAGCATATCCATTACAAAATTGTAATGGGCCTGTTGTGTGGCTTTAATTTCCACCAAGTGGTTAAGAACTGATTGTTCAACTAAAACAAAATGTTCCATATTTTACCCTTACACAATTTTATTACTTACAAGAGGTATAGTGTGGGTTTTCAGTGATGATTACTGGAGCAGCTAGTATGTCTATAATACCCGTTAACATGTGATCCAGCGGATGATACCTACCCTGGATTCCATATAGTAGGAACAGTTTCTTGTCTCAAATCCTCTGCAAAATCCTCAATTTTATTCATTGGGGATTGAGAATCGGGAACTTCACCTAGAAGAAAGATTTGAACATGCAATACACAAATGAAAATTATGAAATGGAGCAATACCATCACCTAGTTTGCAGTATGTATGTACGATATGAGGTTAAATAAATACTGGATTATTACCCTCTTGAGAACCAGACCTGGACACTAATAATGACGGTAGAGCAGTTTAGTTTTGAAACAAAACATACATCCGAACCAGAACTCCTTGTGCAGGGGTGTAAGACAAGTATTAAAAAGGGGTTGCTTAAACTTAAAGAAATAGGTATATAATGACACGTGTTGTTTGGCCGGTATTCCCAAAGCTGATTGGTCCTGTTCAAACATACATATTAATTATCTAGCCCATAAAAAATGAGAATAATTTTCCGGCAAAAGTTTGCATAATTTAAGGTGAGATATAGCAAGGTAACCTAAATTAATACATTCGAAAATCAGGAGAAAACATGAACTAAGTAAATATTTTGGTTATTTATTTTGCAATGCAATTTGCCATCCCTGGACCAGTGTTCTTCTTCCCAACCTTGGATAGTAACTCCCTAAACAAGGATAGTCGTCCTTTAGTTAGGTCTTCCTTGATAACGACGGGCGTCCCCGTAAGAAGCTTCCTTTTCCTAATGATGTCTTGTTTAGGTTATATCCTTTAAATTTAATTATAATAAGTCACCAAACTTCCCAAACCGATGCAGGCGGTCTGTATCACCTTTATCCAACTTGACACCCATTCTTGTATTCAATAGTGAGATAACCTTGTCCGTTAAAACTTCGTTATCTTCTTCACGAACGCCAAATATCAAAATATTATTTCTATGGGTATACGATTGAGCACAGTAGTTTTTTCCCACACTTTTTCAGCGACGTAGGTATTTAACTTTTCAAAAATCCTCTCGGAAATGCTGGTAACCAACTTGTTGAAGAAGTCTCCATCTTCCAGCAGACCCTTGACTGTGCCACTGTATTATTGATTTCATGAAGTTGCGTTTGTTTCCGTGTTTGAGGCATATCAATAGATAGTAGAAACCGGAAAATTTGAATTACCTAAAATACAAGTATGGAATTGAGAGAGCACACAACAGCGCGTCTACTCTGCACTGAGCATATATGCGAATGGTCGGGATATCGGCATATGTTATCCTGTTATTGATAAATACATCCTCTGTTGTACATTTTGTACAGCCTTGATAGGAATTATGGCCTAACACGCACAAAACAAAAGTTTCACTTTTTCGCTTAATTTTTTCCACCGGGCAAAATATTAAATTCCAGAAAACTACTGGATAGAATAGACACTAATTATCGCTTTGATCTGGATTAACTTTTTGTTCGAAGCTCTGTTTTCCAGAACCCTAAATGGAATTACTTAGGCTCTAAAGGCCGCTTTACGTCGTACTGACCAAAAAACCAAGCTCTCGTATAAACTCTTCGGATGCCAAAACGAGACTCTCTCTGGTTGGCCCCAAAAACAGAATCTTACTAGCACCACGGCTCAAACACGAATCCCTTATTTCGTGCAAAGCTCATCCCCTCTCTCTATACTGAACTAACATAATTAGTTAATTTTTCTTGGTTTGCCAACTCTAAGGTGGTCTACAAAAACGCTGATATGACAGAAATATACTTATCTCTTTCCCAATTAAACTTCTTTCGCAGTGTAAGATTTGAAACTTAATACGACCTCTTTTAATCCCGTAAAAAATCTCGTCAAATGAGAACAAAGGCGTTATTGCTAGAGTTGACAGAGATGATAAATCGCTCGTCGGAATCCAATCGACAAAATAAAAACTTGAATACGACATAATGAATATTATGTTTGGTGGAATATTACTGAAACCTTGACCATCTTTAAACTTGAAAACTTTTCCCTCCGCATATTTTAGTGGAAAAACATCGCAAAAAAATTATGCAAAAAAACCCTCTCGTTACAGGGTACACGACACCAGAAGACAGTAACGTTTTTATTAATAATGAAAACAGAATAAATTTAAAAATGTGCAATCACGTTCACATATTTTCCCTCCCTTGTTTTCTAAGGGTGTATACTGATAGACGTGTTTCCAAAACAATGAAGATCACGAAGAAAAGATAGCAATGAGAGTTGACCATTAGTAACCTGTTAGCTACCTATCTATCTACATATTTATATTTTAAATAAAATATGTATCGGTATAAAGAGCACATGATTTCAAAATTAATAATCGTTGGGATAAATCTAGCGTTGCCGTACATATGCTTGAAAATAGTCATATAGTTGACGGTATTTGTCTAGTTAAGCAAGTAAATATAGTAAAAATGAATTAACTTGCTTCCTAATGAATAATGATGCAGAGGAAAAATACAAACTGAAAAATTTCGAAAAACCGATAATGGAGAAAATTACATTTGAATGTAGGGGGGGCATTTTTTACGAATAAACCGAGCGTCCAAAATATTTCGTTTGAGAACTACTATAATATTATGAACATTAATCACTGCTGCAGGGAGATAATGTAATTGTTAAAATCAAATTTACCAACATCCGTCGTGTTTTGAAGATTTTATCAATATTCTCATACTTTTTAGGTATTTCACCTTTTTTCACCCACCCTTCGTATGATTGCAATTTTCCAATCATTCTTTGTGCACTTTAATGGGGGTCTACCTATAGGTATAATATGCCTTAACCTTATGTCTTGAACGGTAGGCAGGAATTTAATAATATACTTTGAATAAAAATTATCAATAATTATTCAAATAAAAAAAATATGTTATCGAACCCAAAAAAATATTTTCTAATCACATTTAATTCGTAGTCTGACTCCTGGCGCTTCTTCTCCAAAACTGATATTTACGTGTAACGGTTGTCTACGGCGATTTTAAGAAATAATAGAAAAAGCGTATATCGAACCGAGTATTTTCTTTGTTTGTTGTTTTAAAATTGTAGGTAAATCGTTCCGTCCAGCTTTTATCCGGCTTATTTTCTAGTTAAATTATAGGGGCTGTTTGATGAAATCGTGACAGCTAAATGAGAGCAAAGTCGGACCAGACGTACGATCTGATCCCAGACCCGCAAGCCTTATTCCGCAAGCCGCTCACAATTTGTTTCTTGCACAAGAAAATTAGTCTTCGGGAGATAATCCGAAAACCGACGGCTATTAACTATAATTGCACTAATTTTAGAAAATAAAAGGGAAACGGTAAAAAAATACTCTTTGACGCGCTCGATGTAAAAAAGGAATTGCGAGGAACCAGTAAAAGAAAGTATTTTGCATTCGATTGCCATGGGTTTTAATTATAAAATCAACGTTATTTAATTATTGCTTATAAGAATAAGATAATTAGTGTAATTGATATAGCAGGTGGTATTTTAAGTTTAATTGGGCAAACTGCACCTACCTTACTTCTTGTCTCGGCGCATTTTTAGCGACTTTTTGCTGCATTATTTTAAGAGGAGATAAATTCGGCACTTTTTGAAGGTAGATGGTAATATGAGGTGGGCATAACGTAATTGGAGCTGTTCTACATGCATACCTAAAATGCATGTGAAATTTACAGCAATAGAATCTTAAATGCTGTTACGCTCGCCAAATTTGAATAATTTCGAATTTGTTTGCACATTGTTGAGGAACTTCACATCCATTTGAAGAGTATTGCACCAACATTGCTAGCAACAAATACTGGACAAGTAAATAGGTCCATGTATTGCATTGAAATCTATTGATAATGGAAGTACTGATGAGGAAGTGTCGATGGCTTTATTACAGTTTCTATAAGCTAGTGACAGGAAACCCATAATGTAACTGTGATTTAGTAATGGAAACAAAAAACAAAACAAAATCTCCATAAATCCATGGCCTACTATTTAAAAACCGTAAAAAGTAAGGTTTTTATTGTTGGTTCAGGGCTAAAATTTAAAAAAATATAGGTTGTGATACATCAATGTAATCAGGAAAAATAATGTCAAAACATTTACGTTAAGATATACAGGGTATTGCATTTAAAAAATACCAATTTTGGGTCAAATCTCAGAAACTGCGGGCAAAAATTTATACGACGCCACCGAATTCTACGTCAACATATCTAAAATACGCAGTTTTTTACCTTGTTTCTACCTTAGATGGGTAAATAAAGATACGATAACATCAAAAAAGTCAAACTTTTTGTTTTCACCCTGTATGTCCGAAACAACGTAGCGAAAACCGCAATCTCTATCTCTAAAAGCAGCTGAAATACACAATGCACAATTTCATTAAACTTTGAAGCATTGATTCTACAACACCTCAACTGGTACCACAGTGTTGACTCAGATTGTGCTTTGGTTGCTTTGGAAATTTTAATGCGTCCTTGAACATCAATTTGACTTTTTGCAAACGAAATGAAATATAAAATAAATATAGTGTTGAGAGATCTAGTTATTGCAATTTCTCTTTTTGATTTTCTTGATGTAGTGCTCCATATGATTTATTTCTTGATATAAGTAATAAAACTCGTTGTTCAAATAATTGAATTTTAATATTTCTTTAGGTTATCGATTTCGTTTTCATTTACGCTCTATATTTTCAGGTCTGATGATGAACCGGTGTATAAATCGATACCCAAAGACATATTAAAATTCAATTATTTGAAGAACGAGCATTCAGTTGTTTTTATTTCAGAAAACAAATGAATAACGAAAAACAAATGATTTTTTTTAAATGGCAGTGCACCTTTTCATTAGACTCATTTGAAAGAGATTTTTTTTCTCTTTTCGATGATATAACATGTTACTACTCTAATACAAATAAATTTTTTGAAAAAAACGTATTATAATCACATCAGTAACATTAATCTAGATATCCTACATCAAAATAAAACAAATGCACCCTGTAGTATATACTATTGTACTGTAGACCCAGTTACCTACAAGACATTTCACAGCCTCATTTTTAATAATAATAATAATAATATATTTACAAACTAACAATTAGGTAACAATTAAAGATTAAAAAATTCACTAGTGGTGTAGTGTAAAATGGGTTAAGAATAAGGTACTTTAACAGGTTTTGTTTGAACAGTTTTAGAGTGTCACAGCCTTTTAAGTAGTGAGGTAGCTTGTTATGCATTTGTACTCCAAGAACCATGGGAGAGTTCGCGGTTAATTGTCTTTTAAAAGTGGGGATTTGGAAAAGGTCATTATCACGTAAATTATAGCTATGTGTGTCCTTGTTCCTAATCAGTTTATGAGAATAAGTGAAGATTAATTTACAATTTTCAAAAATTAATAAACTAGGAACCGTTAAGATTTCCAGATCTTTAAAGAGATCTCTGCACGAATGAAATTTTGACACGTTTGCAATTGTTCTTATAATGCGCTTTTGGGCAATGAAAATAGCATGCGAGTGAGTAGACGAACCCCATAGACATATCCCATATCGTAGGATGGACTCCACAAGCGAGTGGTATATATTAACGAGTTGATTTAGAGTTAAGACGCGTCTGAGATTTCTAATTAGGTAATTAACCGAACTCAATCTAGCTGCGAGTTTGGAGCAGTGTACTTTCCAGCTTAAGTGGTTGTCAAAATGTAGACCCAAAAATTTAGTGGTGGAAACATCTTGCAGAGTGTTGTCCTCTATTTGTAGAGCGACAGGGTTAATGGTTTTTTGTGGGTGATGAAAACGAACATAATTGGTTTTGCTTGCATTTAGAACAAGTGAAGCTTCCTTGAACCAAACACTAAGCTTATGCAAGTAATTATTGCACAAGTTTGTGAGTAATTTCTCGTCCACCAGCAATGACGTGTCATCCGCATATAAGAAATGGGGTACTTCTGTCCCGAGGAAAGTGGGTAGATCATTTATATACAGCAGAAACAGCGTTGGTCCCAGTACCGATCCCTGCGGGACCCCAACATTTGTAACTTTATTCTGCGATTTAAATATTTGCTTGGTGCCGTTTACTAGTCCGGTAATAGAAACATACTGTTCCCTGTTGTAAAGGAAAGAAAAGATCCAGCCGAGTCCAACACCTCTGATGCCATAATTCTCTAATTTTAAGAGCAGCTTGTCAATGTG